ATCGCATATTTCCTTCGAATTAATTTCACTTTTGGTCCCACGACTTTTGATATTCTATCACTTTTGGTGCACAACTTTAAATTTTTTTAATTTTGGTGCCTAACTTTGTTATTTTTATCAGTTTTGGTCCTTTTGGCGAATTTGACAGCGAAATGTTGCTGGATTTTATATTGTTAGGGGTAAAATCATCATCCCAAGGCAACATCTTCAATATCTAAACAAAATCATCCTGTAAAATCATATCTATATGTGTTTGATGATGAGAATAATGTGGAAGACGGGCAGAAACCAGACAGATCTATGGGATTTATAGTTTCGACCATTGGCAAACTCTTTTTTTCCTCTTAATATGGTTTTTCTTTTGTTTAAATATTGAAGATCTTTCCATGGGATGGCGATTTTGCCCCTAAAATATAAAATCCAGAAATATTTTACCGTCAATTTGGCTGGAAGGACCAAAACTGATAAAAATAACAAAGTTAGGCACCAAAATTAAAAAAATTTAAAGTTGTGCACCAAAAGTGATAGAACATCAAAAGTCGTGGGACCAAAAGTGAAATTAATTCTATTTCCTTCCATAACTTTATGAAATAATTAACGTTTTTCTATATTTGTGTTCATCCCCTACACATTGAGCAACAAATGTTAAATACCATAATTCACCTCCTTTTCAAACTAGTTTTAGATCTTCATGTATCGTTTCCATTTGATCTTAAAATTCCATTGTCTTCTTCTGTTTGGTTTTCCTTTTCCACAAAAGAAAAAAAAAAATCCTTCAATCTAAAATTGATTGTAAAATACCAATGACAATTTACTTCGCCTCCAACGGAGACCAAAATTTGGGAAACAAGAATAGATTCTATCTATTCCCTATTGGGGACAACCGGACAAGGATACTCCTCTCTACCTAACACCATTCTTGACTTATATGTGTGTGTGTATAAAATTTGTATTTGGATATATGATGTTTAGACGTTTTATAATTGTGGATTTGTGTTCTTATTTACATGAACACTCTTTGCATTCTGTATTTTGCATTTCCGTTGTCGTTGAGGATTCAAAGAAAATTTAACTATTTTAATTTTTTTTTTTAAAAAATTGTAATAGTTTGACTAAGGCTGACTGAGTACGGAGAATCTCCATTATTCCAAAAAATTCTCCGGGGGGAATGGATGGGGATAGATTTCCAATCTGGATGGAAATGGGGATGGGAAATAGGATGGAGTTTTAGGGATAGAAATGAAGATTATACTCCGTCTTTGCGCCATCCTGTTGACCTCCATATTGAAAATTGAATATTTCTTTTATTTAGCTTTGGAATGAAATTAGTTTGTTTTAGTGTACTTTTACTTGAGGTTACATTTCGAAGATTATTAAGGTTTTTAATTTGTTGAAATAGGAATTAGATTGCCCTTCATATGGAGAATCGAACTTGAACAAATTGAAAGTATGAATATTTCATTAATTAAATTCATAAAGATAGAACCCTAACCTAGCTCTATCATACATTATTCTTAAACCTAAGGTGACAAAAAAATTGGCAATCAAATTTCCCTATTTTTTGTTTTTGTTTTAGAAGTCCTAATAGGAAAAGATGTGAATAATGTTACAAATTCGAAACTTCAATTCATTCATCATTCTAATAGGAAAAGATGTGAATGACACATTTAAAACTTCAATTCAATTGTATTAGTTTATCTAACGAAAATGAAAATTTTTTGTGAAATTTTACGATTTAGTAATTTCAATTGATTTGTGAGTTTCATAAAGATTTTATTTCAATAAAATTGGATGAGTGACATTATTCAACCCATTGAATTGAAGTACTTTCTAATTTTTCATAGATATTATTTTTTATTATTTTTTAATTTGTTTCAAATTTACTTGTATGTGTTAAGTTGTTTCATACTTTTTTTTTTTTTTTAATTCTAAAAAGAATACTAGAGATTCAGAATCCGAATTTTAGTGAATTCCCTTTTCTTGCATTTGTGATTATTTAGATTTTGCTAATTATTATTTAAAAAAAAAAAAAAAAAAAAAAAAAACTGGAGATAGGGATGTGTAATTTTTGCAGTTGACCATTTATAGAAATGTTACTGATACTTCTAATACTTCATTTTGTTAGGAAGGCTAAAAGTTTAAAGGGGAATGAATATATAGATCAGATTTTTGTATTTGAGCAAAAAGAGAAAAAAAGTAGTTTTCAATTTTTTTGTATTCCCTGTTATTATATTCTTCATCTACATTTCTAACAATAAGTTCATGGTTGATAATCTGGTAAAGAATTGAAGAATGGTGAAGGGCAAAGTCCGCAAGGAAGCGTCAAAGGAGCCAAGAAAATGGGTGGATTACATCCAGGATGAGAGTGAGAAGAAGGCAGTTCCAATATTAGCCGGCCGGTTTCAGGCGGAGTTGCCGGAGTGGATTGGTCCACCCAAGAAAGGTGATCAAGAAACAGAATTAAAATGGTTGGGTACGCAGATATGGCCAATCAAGAATGAGTCGTCTGATACAACTACAGAAGAAGAAGAAGAAGAAGAAGATGATGTGGGAATTATTGGAAAAGGGAGAGCTGAAGAGTTGTGCGACTGCGAGTCTCGTGGATCTGTTGAATGTGTTAGAAGGCATGTAAATGATGAAAGGATAAAGCTGCAGTCTGAACTGGGATCGGCGTTTTGGGAATGGAATTTTGATGGGATGGGAGAAGAAGTTTCGAATCAATGGACTCTAGAGGAGCAGAATAAGTTTGAGTCAATCGTGAAAATGAAGCCATTATTATTATCTCAAGGTGGAAAAGGGTTTTTGAAGGCTGCCATGGCCGCTTTGCCCTCCCACAACACCCAAAGCATCATCAGTTACTACTTCAATGTTTATCTGCCACGGAGAATCGCCCAGGAAACCAGGAGGTCAGATAATAAAACGGCCAATAATACCGACGACGAGGATGAGACTAAGGAGGCAACAAATTCCAAGACTAGTCGTCGGAAGAAAAGGCGTATCATATCTTGAATTGATAGGGCGCGGCGAGGATGAATCTGCAACGTAACTCGATCCATATGATCTCTGCTTTCATGAATTTGCTTTGTGAGTCTTGCATGCAAACTGCAAACTATTTGTTTTCTTGTTTTGGATGATGTTTGAATTGGCTTCTTATCTGCTGTATAGTATCAGTAAAGCACCTTCCTTCTGCGTACTTGTTGCTTCATTCATTATTTCCAAATCAGGATTGAAAATGAGTGACTAAATTAATTGTGGTACAAAAGTAGATATGATTTACCCTACAAATAATCTATAAAAAAATATGTTGTTGAGCCCAAACCCCATGACTCCATCGTGAATTGGCCACTTCTTCTAGACAATTAGAAGTAGTAGTAGACCCTGTCCTCATGGCCTTCACATTACAGCCTTTGCACTCACCCTGTTGAACTAAAACTTTCCTAACACCTGAACCCGTTCTTGACCTTGGCCCTACAGGCTCCAACCATTGTTAGTTTGATCGTAGGATGCTCCAAAACAAATTAAAATCTTCCCTATGTTGATTTTTAGAATAGTGAAAAAGTAGGGTTTCTTTTCTAATGAGATGACGCATTGTTCAAAGATTGATCTTTTCTCATGCTATTTATGTTTTTCTTGTGGGGCCTAGAATGTGAGAGAAAATGGAAAACAACAGAGCATTTCTGCCTGTGGAGCACAAGTATCTATAAAGTTTTTCAGTTTTTTTTTTTTTTTTTAAATTGTTGTCAGCCCTTTTTTCCTTTTTTTTTTCCTCACTTTTTTATTGACATCCTCTCTCTTTCCTAATGGCACTTCAAAAACCATGAAAAAACAAGAGCTGATGAGGATGCTATAAGCTGACTACCTTCCTAAGGGCAAATTATATCGTGGACCGCATAATGGACCGAGTTTCTAAACGACGTTATTTTGTTTAATGAAAAAAAAAAAAAAAAAAAAAAAACGGCACCCGTTCCACAAAAATTAATTAACTCTGTTATTCATTTTCATTTTGTATACACTGCATTTTCATTTCAACACAACTACAGTTTCATTTCGATATAACTATAGTTTCATTCGATATTTATACACTCAAATATATGAAAATGTTATTTAATTTTATTTTATATACACTATAGTTTCATTAAAACACAACTACATTATCATTTCGATATAACTATAGTTTCATTGCACAATATACACTCAAATATGTGAAATGTTATTCAGTTTCATTTTATATACACTGCAATTTCATTTCAACAGAACTACAGTTTCATTTATATATATATATATATATATATATATAGAGAGAGAGAGAGAGTGAATAAGGTACAAAATTGCATAACATGAGACACAGAAACGCATAACGCATAACACAAGACACATAGACATGTTTTACAGTTTAAAAAAAAAAAAAAAAAAAAAAAAAAAAAAAAAAAAAAACCTGAAACGTGAATTGAACAACTAACGGTCACCGTTAAAATTAAAATTCAATTCAAAACTGCATCGTTTATGATCATGGTCCATAATGTGCTATAGACCCTGGTCCACGATATAACGATTGTTTAATTTGACTATCTTTTTTTTTTTTTAAATTAATTGGACATTTTTCAATCACTGCCTATTTTTAACTAGTAAAATTTTGGTAATTTCAATTAACACTAGAAAATAACATAGCTCACCCCTAGTTATACTGCTTCGGTCTTCTTGCCCGTCCATATAATATAATGTCATTTTTTTTTTCAATTTCAGGACAAGGGTTTCAATTTCCAAATTTGTTGTTGAACATCTGCCTTACCTAGTAACTGTTGATAATTTTAAGGTTTAATGCACATGTTTTTTTATGCTTTCATTAAAAAAAAAAAAATAATAATAATAATAATAGACACAACTATTCCATAAATCTTTTCAAATTAAAGTTAAAAGACATGATGATTTGAAAGTATAAATATTTGTATATAGTTTGCTAACCATTTTCAGTGCTTGTAGCTGTTTGTTGTATATATTACAGATAAAAATGAATACTTTTAAAAGGTGAGATGTCAAAACTGTTCAAATCATCATCTATATATATTTTCTGCTATTCTTCAACTTGTCAACTTGTGTAATTAATATAATAATACCTGTTTGATATTCTGGTTATGAAGAATACAGGAGACCAAGCAAGCATCAAGGAAGAATCCAGTGCAAACAAATTGGTTGGATTACATCCAGGATGAAAGTCTCAAAACGATCGTGATTCCGGTAGGGCCCCGGTTTCAGGCGGACTTGCCGGAGTGGATTGGTCCGCCCAATACTGGAAAAGAGAAGGAAGAATCAAAATGGTTGGGAACACAGTTATGGCCAATCAAGAATGACGACACAAACGAAGAGAGAATGATTGGGAAAGGGAGACCGGAGTTCTGTCACTGTGGGTCGCCTGGATCAGTGGAATGTGTGAGAAGGCATGTGGGTGATGAAAGGAAAAAGGTGGAATCTGAACTGGGGCCTGCGTTTCGGGAATGGAGATTTGATGAAATGGGAGAAGATGTTTCTAATGAATGGACTCCACAGGAGCAGCGCAAGTTCGAGTCAATTGTGAAAAGGAATCCGCCATTGTCTATAGGTAAAAGCTTTTTGCAGGCTGCCATGGCGGCTTTCCCCTCCCACAACAGACGCAGCATCCTCAGTTACTATTTCAACGTTCATCTCCCTCGGAGAATTAGCAAGGAAACAAGGTGGTCGGATCATGGTGAAGCCGCCGGCACCGATGACGAGGAGAAATCGGCGTCGTCAACGAACTCCAGGAAGACTAGTTGTCGGAAGAAAAGGCGTTTTGTATATTGAAATTAATCTACAACTCGTACTGGAAGGCAAGCAAATTCTTTCGTTTGGATACTTGATATACTGTCTATTTATGGTGGTTTAAGATGAAAAGGGATGACCTTTTTTAATTGTAAAGCAATATTATATTATATGTACTCTTAAACTCCATTCCCATAAACAAGCTAAGTGTTATAAATATTAAGTTATGGCCATTATCTTATAATCTCTCCATTATCCCACTTTCTTTATTATTTTATATTGTATGAGCATTTCAGAGCAGAGCTGAGCTTTAATTTGCTGCTAAGGAGCTTCCTCTCTAGTGGACAGTGGTCAGTTTTTCTTCAGAAGGAGATGCATGCTGGTTTCAGCATGCTTGAGTTAACAAACTAATGTTGATGCCTTGATGGTTTCCAGAGGACTCGTGTTGGTGGCTATAGCAATAGCTGGCAATTAACGGATGGTTTGGTTGGAGGGTGGAAATTAGGTGGGAAAGGAATTATAATTTCATGGGAAATGAATTATTACGAATAAAGTGGAATTTAAATTTCACTATTTGGTTTACACGAATAGAATTATTGGGAATTTCAATTTCAATGTTTGGTATACATGGAATTGAAAGGGAATAAGTAGTATAAAGTCTAAAATGTCTATTATTATTGTTATTATTATTATTATTATTATTATTATTATTATTATTATTATTAATAAATGACAACTATTTCATAGACCCATTTGCATATTCAAACACAAAAAATATAAAATATTAATTTCAATACTAGTCATCTATCGTATCTCTTGAACTAGATATATATATTGTAATTAATTTTCATGCAAATACTTAAAAAAAAAAAAAAAAAAAAAAAAAAAAAAAAAAAGCTTAAGTTTTAAAAAAGAGGGATAATAATTTTGTCTCATGATTATCTTTTTTCTTCCTAAACTCCATGGAATTAAAATTACAGGGGGACATGAGATTTTACAGGGTGTTTGGTTGAAGGGAATTTAAATTTCCTCTCACCTAATTCCAAATGTCACAAAATCCCATGTCCCCCTCTGGGAATAAAAAAAAAAAGATAATGATGAGTCAAAATTACCCCTTCCTTTTTTAATCTAAAATTAATGTCTAACAACAACAATGGACATTTTTGACTTTATACTACTTATTCCCTTTCAGTTCCCATGTATACCAACATTGGAATTGAAATTCACAGTAATTCTATTTCTGTAAACCGAACACTGGAATTTAAATTCTCACTTTATTCCCAATAATTCATCTCCCATGAAATTGTAATTCCTTTCCCACGTAATTCCCCTCTCCAACCAAACGCCCTGTTAATTCCTTGAAAATGAGGGAATTGCAATTCCATGGAATTACAATTCCTTCCAACCAAACTAAGAAATTTAGTGACTTTTGAAATTGGGTGAGAATTAAGTGGGAATGGAATTTAAATTCCCTCCAACCAAAAACCCTAACAGCACATTTGGTTCACGGAATGAATTTTGAGGTAATAGGAATGCTATTCCATAAGGAATGGAATATGCAAGGAATAGAATAGGAATTGTATTCTATTGTTTGGTTCGCATAAGGAATAGACTTTAGGAATTATATTACAGTGTTTGGTTGATTTAAGGAATAGAAATGAAATATGTTTTAAAAGACATAAATACCCTTATAAAAATATGTGATGGTGGCGATGGTGGTGGCGGTGGAGGCGGTGGTGGCGGTGGTGATGGTGGTGGTGGCGGTGGCAGTGGTGGGAACGATGGTGGTGGTGGTGACGGTGACGGTTGTGGCAGTGGTGGTGGGGGCGGCGACGGTTGTGGCGGTGGTCCTGCTGGGTGATGGTTCTAGTGGTGGTGGTGGCGGCGGCGATGGTGGTGGCGGTGGTGGTGATGATGGTGGTGGTGGTGGTGGTGGTGGTGATGGTGGTGGTGGTGGTGGTGGTGTGTGAATAATGTTATTATTGTTATCTTTTATATTGTTATTATTTATTATAGTTTGGCTTAGTCTTCTATATAGGCCCTACTAGTTAGGAGATATTATAGCTATCTATTTCATATAGCTCTGTAATCCTTATCGATTGAAACTGAATGAAACACTTATTTCTCATCTGGTATCAAGAGCCAACGATCCTAATCCTTTTTTTTTTCTCTCCCTCTCCGATCGACTATGTCGACTAATTCTTCCGGGAGAACAGTGACTGCCGCCACCGTATCTACTCCGGCCACCACCCCAAACATGCTTGCCTCAGCCCATCATTTTGTATCCATCAAGCTCAATTCTCGCAATTTCCTGTTCTGGAGAACGCAACTCGTTCCCTTTCTCAAAGGACAGGGGTTGCTCGGCTTTGTGGATGGCGAAAATCCATGTCCACCATCCACGATCGCCATTCCACCAACCTCCGGCGACTCCAGCACTGCGACGACGACCACGCCCGCCACCACTGGTCCCAATCCCGCGTTCCACGCGTGGGTGCAACAGGACCAATTAATCCATCATGTCGCTTCTCATCTCCTCACTATCTGATGAGGTTATGTATCTGGCAGTAGGGAGGAGCACTTCGCGTGAGGTGTGGGAGGCCATAACTGCTACGTTGGGGTCATCTTCCCAGGTGCGTTGCTTGAATCTGTTGGGCCAGTTCCAATCCTTGCGGCAAGGGAACAGCTCTCCGGCGGAATACCTCAGCAAAGCTCAGCTCATCGTGGAAGCGCTCGCCCTCGCCGGTCGCCCTCTCTCTCTGGACGAACAAAATATGTACGTCTTCAGGGGGTTGAGGCCAGAATTTAGGGCGATGGCGTCGTCTCTCACCGTCACCGGAACTCCGGTATCCATCTCCCAGCTTTCGGATTATCTCCAAGCTCAGGAGTTTATTTACTCCGATGATTACCCGGCCACAGAAGGCGGCACTGCAGGTTCTCCGGCAGCCTTCTTCGCAGGTCGTGGACGTCACCAGTCCAGCGACCATGGTGGCAGCAGCAATCGCGGTGGGCAGAACCGCGGCAGGCAGGGTCGTGGACGTGGCGGTGGAGGGCGTGGCCGTGGCAGAGCTCCCCGGTGCCAAATATGCCGCTCGCACGGACATACTGCGGTGTATTGTTACAAGCGATACACGACTCCGCCGCCGGCTCCACAAGTCAATCTTGTCGTCGCCGGCGATGATGCTACCGTACCGGCAGTCGGGTCATGGTTCCCGAACACTGGGGCCACCGCCCACGCGACACCGGATTCCGCGATGGTTTCGCAATCTGAAGAGTACACAGGCAGCGATGTTCTAAGAGTCGGGAACGGCGCAGGTTTGACGGTCTCCCGAGTGGGCCATGCATTTATTCCTACTCAGTTTAAATCTCTGTCTATGTCTAATATTTTAGTTGTACCCAAATTGTCAGTTCCTTTATTATCTGTACACCGCTTTGCAACTGAAAATAATGTTTACTTCGAATTTCACAAAAATTGCTTTTTTTGTGAAGGATTCCGTCACCAAGGCGACACTTCTTAAGGGTCCTGTTGCGGGCGTTCTGTAAAAGCTGCCGATGTCACAGTCACATTTTGCGTTCATAAGCTCCCGGGCCACTCCCGGGGTGTGGCATCGCAGGTTGGGTCATCCACATAGCCAAGTCCAGAATCGTGTCCTTCAAGTTTGTCCAGTTACCACAAATAAATCTGAGGCGTCGGGGTCGTGTGCAGCTTGCCATCTTGGAAAATCGTCACGTTTTCCATTAGATAGGGTAGCTTTATCTAGTCAAAATGCGTTAGATTTGCTGTACACTGACATTTGGGGCCCCGCCCCCGTTATTTCTTCTTTGGGTTTCCGTTACTTTTTGTTATTCGTTGACGATCATTCCCGATTTTGCTGGTTTTATCCTTTAAAGCAAAAATCGGATATTTATAAAATTTTCGATTCCTTCCGTGTTATGGTAGAACGCCAGTTTTCGCGTTCTATCAAAGCTATTCAATCAGACTTAGGGGGTGAGTACCAAAAGTTACACAAAACCTTCCATTCCCTTGGCATAATACATAGGCAGTCGTGTGCGTACACACATGAACAAAACGGTAGGGTGGAACGCCGAAATCGACATATTGTTGAGACCGGGTTGTCACTCCTTGCCGAAGCATCTGTCCCTTTACAATATTGGGACTATGCCTTTGAAACGGCTGCGTGTCTTATCAACAATCTCCCCTCATCAGCCATAAATTTTGAAACACCCTACAGTCGGTTACACAAAGTGTCTCCTCCATACACGTTTCTAAGAGTCTTCGGGTGCCGATGCTATCCCTATCTCAGGCCATATAATCGGCACAAGATAGAGTATCGCTCTGCACCCTGTGTCTTCCTAGGCTATCCTCCGTCTTTTAGGGGGCATAGGTGCATGGATCTCACAACGGGGAAGGTCTATATCTATCGTCATGTCCGATTTGACGAATCTTGTTTTCCTTTTTCAGATATACAGGATCAGACACAAGCGGTTCCTACCCAAGCACCGTGGGCCGCCGGGCCTATTATACCACATGGTCTGACAACTGATTCCCCGAGTGTTGCACCTTTGTCATCAAATCCCACTCCTTTGGCACAGGACCCACCGCCTATGGCACTTGAAGCGCCGGCTACGGTCCCGGCCAGACGGAAGCGTACTCGTGTGCAACGCACCACTGACAGGGGCCATGTCATGAGACTACGTCACATAACTCGAGGAACTGACGAGCCCTTTCATGTTTTAAATGTTACTACTGATCCCACATGTTACTCACAGGCAGTTGGTCATCTACAATGGCAGGATGCCATGGACCAAGAATTTAATGCCTTAATTCATAACAGCACTTGGAAACTCATCCCGGCTACACCGGATATGAACGTCATTGGGTGCAAATGGGTCTTCCGTACCAAACGCACCGCTGACGGATCGATCGAGCGCTACAAAGCTCGACTCGTCGCCAAAGGGTTTAATCAAGTGGCTGGAGAGGATTTCTTCGACACTTTCAGTCCCGTAGTCAAACCGACAACGGTTCGCTTGTTATTTTCTTTAGCCGTATCAAGGGGGTGGACTCTGCGTCAGTTGGACGTGCATAACGCCTTCCTAAACGGGAACTTAGAGGAAACTGTTTACATGAAACAGCCTCCCGGGTATGAAGACCCAACCCACCCTGACTATGTTTGCCACTTGCAGCGCTCCCTGTATGGCCTGAAATAGGCACCCCGAGCTTGGTTCAAAAGGCTGCATGACTACTTGATTTCAGCTGGCTTTTCTCCCTCGAAGACTGATGTCTCGTTGTTTCACTACAAATCCGGGGCCTCCCGGGTATTTCTATTAGTCTACGTGGATGATATAATCATGATGGGTGACGATGCTCCGTTAATAGATGCTTTGCTTCAGGGTCTATCTACTACTTTCAAGATCCGGGATCTTGGTACACCAGGATTCTTTCTGGGCATCGAAACATTAAAACAGGATGACGGTCTTATGCTCTCTCAACGCTGCTACATGAATGATCTCCTGAGTCGAGCAGGAATGTCAGATTGCAAACCGCTTACAACTCCAGCGGCTGTTACACAAGTCGTTTCCCCCTCAGATCAACCATACGAGAATCCCACACAATACAGGCGCTTAGTTGGGGCTTTACAGTATCTCACGATCACACGACCAGATCTTTCCTATGCTGTGAATCGTCTTTGTCAGTTCATGCATGCGCCCACAACAGATCATTGGGTTCTATTGAAGCGGGTTTTACGCTATATCAAAGGCACCTTGAACTATGGGTTACGGTTGTCTCCGTCCACATCCCCCGACATCCATGCTTTCTCTGACTCTGATTGGGCCGGTTGTCCGGTGGACAGAAAGAGCACTAGCGGGTATGCGGTCTTCTTAGGCACTAATCTTGTTTCGTGGCTATCCAGGAAACAGCGCACGGTAGCCCGCTCTTCGACTGAAGCCGAGTACAAAGCCCTAGCTGATGTCTCAGCCGAGGTCACATGGATTGTCTCTCTACTCCGAGAACTTGGGTTGCACTTTGGGAATCCTGCCACTCTTTGGTGTGACAACTTAGGTGCTACTTATCTTTGTGCGAACCCGGTTTTTCATGCCCGGACGAAGCATGTGGAGATTGATTTTCATTTTGTCAGGGACAAGGTTGCAGCAGATGATTTTATCGTTAATTTCGTGTCTACGAAGGATCAGCTTGCAGATATCTTCACCAAACCACTACCGGGGCCGCGGTTCGTGACTCTTCGTGACAAGCTCAGTGTGGCTACACACCACCCTTGTGCTTGAGGGGGTGTGTGAATAATGTTATTATTGTTATCTTTTATATTGTTATTATTTATTATAGTTTGGCTTAGTCTTCTGTATAGGCCCTACTAGTTAGGAGATATTATAGCTATCTATTTCATATAGCTCTGTAATCCTTATCGATTGAAACTGAATGAAACACTTATTTCTCATCGGGTGGTAGTGGTGGTGCTGGCGGTGGCAGTGGTGGGGGCGGCGACGGTTGGGGCGATGGTGGTGGCGACAGCGGCGATGGTGGTGGTGGGGTGGTAGTGGTGGTGCTGGCGGTGGCAGTGGTGGGGGCGGCGACGGTTGGGGCGATGGTGGTGGCGACGGCGGCGATGGTGGTGGTGGTGGCGGCGGCGGCGGCGGTGATGGTGGTGGCGGCGGCGATATAGGATAAATTTATATATATGATTTAAAAAAATTAGGTTAAAGAAAGGGGTAAAAAAGAAAATAGATTCTAAAATCTATTCCTGAACGTTCAGTAATAGGCTAATACCAGGGGGGGCCCTAGTAATAACTATTACCTTATTTGAGGTAATAGGCTATTACCAGAAATATTATTCCTGGTAATAGAAATGATTACCAAACAAAGGAATATGCATATTACTGGAAATGCTATGCTATTCCAGGCCTATTCCGTGAACCAAACGGGCCATAAGTTTATTCATCTAAAAAGTTTTTGAACTGGGAAGCTGGTAGTGCTCAGACTATTGGAAATGTTGAGCAAAAAGGAATCATCGATTATGGAGTACAACTAGAATTAATTATGGAAAATTATATCAGAGTTTTCCTATTTTTATATGATAAAATATTTATCATGCCATATAAATTCATATGATAATAAATTATTATGTGCAAATGATTGTTATGTGCACTTAGTCATATATTATTGGGTATTTGATATTTCATGTCATGCCTGATATAATTATTTTTAAAAGTTATATCCTTGAAAGAAGCAAATGGATACATCATCACTCTCGACTGGATATAAGAGAAATGAGGAAATTATATATGTTGTGGCATTCAAAAAAAAAATATATGTTGTGGATAGTGCAACCACACATACAATGCCTAATAGTGCAAAGTATTTATGTACATTATTGAAAAAGAATGAGAAATTTGTTACTACAATATATTTATATATTGTAGTACAAAAATGAGTGAAGGCCCCGGTAAAGTTAATATATTATTCCCTAGATGAACAAAATATATAATAGATAATGAATTGTAAATTGTAATGCATTGTTCCCTCTGAACTCTCACAAAAATTTGTAAGTTTTAAAGATGTTCGCACTAACGAATATTATATTGCGACTATAAAAGAAAGGAATCAAGAATTCTTCAAATTACAAATGCAGTATCAGAGAAGAAATATATGTTGGAAAATTCCCTGCTCTTTCCTCATTTTTATATTGCACAAGAATAAATGTTATTGACGTCAATCTTATTGTAAACTTAAAGTTTACCGATTTGAATTATTTTAAATATCGTTAAATACAAGGAAATTTCAATCTCCAATTATGAATTTTTTTCAAAAAAGAAAAATAAACATAAAAAAATATTGCGGTTCAACCTACTTTGTATTAAAAAGATTGAAATGTTTTTGTATTTAACGATATTTCAACGATTTTGTTGAAGAAAGACTAAAAATAGTCATGTCACAATAATACTAAGACTAAATGAGGATGCTCTAATAAAATAATACTAAAAGTGAACAGTCACCTATAAATCTAGAACAAATAGAATTAACTCTACCAAACAGGCCATAGTTACGACTCTTTCTTGGAATATTGTAAACATAAGTTCAAATTTGATGTTTACAACCCTTGAATACTATTTGAGTAGTATTGCATCACAGTTTAGTTTTTTTTTTTTTTTTTTTTTTTTTTTTTTTTTTTTAAATAGAAGTATAATTACAGTACTTGAATATTGTAAAGAGAAAATTTCAATTTTGGTCCACTGATTATTGCACTTGTGTTAATTACAACACTTGATTTTTAAAACTGTTAATTTAGTACCTTGACTATGTAATTTTTATCAATTTTGGTCACTCCGGCCAAATTACCGACCAATTCACGCTAGAAAAACTTAATTAATCAATTAATATTTAATCTGAGGGGCAAATTAGTCTTTTTAATTGTGACAGTCTTCCCACCGTTCTTGCTGACCTTAGCAGAGTGAGATGTACGACTTTCGGACGTTCGTTCTTATTCCGACGAGATTCTCCAATGGTTGTGGTTCCGAGAACGCACCCCATAATGAAATTGATGAGCGAAATAAAAGAATCCAAAACTGAGTAGATGAATTCAGTAACTGGTTTTGCTACTGCATTTATTACAGCTTAGCTCTGATCTTGCTCTTCTTCATCACAAACATAAACAAACAATTTTATTGCTCATATCTACACATTAAATTAAATTAAATATATATGACGGTTGGAGTTCGGTTCCCCGGAGTCAGAACCTGCCCCGTTGATTTCATCGCTGAGAGATTGAAGTCGGTCGATTCTGCGAGCCGCTGGCTGAGCTTGTGTGCCGCCATTAAATCCGGCGAATGGGTCAAATTTATCGTCAGATAAGCAAAAGGAATGAGGTGTAATGGCTCAGAATCCTTCCATGTTAATAAAACTAATCCTTCGTCGGATTTGCATTGGCAACGGAGTGGTTGGATTCGCGTCGTCGGATACTCCGGAGTCACGACTCACGTCAGACGGACAAAGATGAAGAAATGGAATAGGAAAATTAATTTGGGGATTCTAGAATACAGACATTAGGGCTTAGGTATAATTTGAGGTTTGAATTTTAATTCCTAACTATTGAAGTGTTTGAGGGTTGATGAACAAGTGAAATCCATGGGAACAGTAGAGTGAAGGCTTCATCGTCTTCTGCAATTTTCTTATTCTAGGCAGAGCTCATCGCGACGGCCATTCCGGCCAGCCAGATATCATTGGAGGGTATTGTAGAAAGACGAATTTGCCTCTTAGATTAAACATTAATTGATTAATTAAGTTTTTTCGGGGAGAATTAACCGACGATTTGGCCGGAGTGACCAAAATTGATAAGAATTGCATAGTCAAGGTACTAAATTAACAGTTTTGAAAGTCAAGTATTACAATTAACACAAGTGCAATAGTCAATGACCAAATAAAATTGAAATTTTCTCTATTCTAAACATAAGTTTGAATTTGATGTCTCCCACCTCTAATCAGTAAAGAGCCCCGATCTTAGCGCAGTGGTTAACGGCATGACTTGCACAACTGAATGTAAGAATGTGGTGATTCGGATCACACAAATATGAATATGAATGGGAAAAAAAAAGTAAGGATGATAGAATGTCTGAATTTGATCACTTATAAAGACTAGGGTCTGATCAATTGGTTAACAATAGTTATTGTGTGGACTGGGCTGTGTGGACCATGGTCCAAAAACGACGTCGGTTTTTTCAATTTTATTTTTTTGTGCGCTCAGTTGCAACATACATTTTTATCTCATAATGTACATGATTCTAAAACATAATGTATATTATTCTAAAGTATAATGTACATTATTTTAAAACATAATATACATTATATTACCTCAGATGTTTCATTATTTTAACACGTAATGTATATTATTTTAACACATAATATACATTATTCTAACATGTAATTTATATTATTCTAACACATAATGTACATTATTTTAAAACATAATATATATTATTTTTACTCATAATATTCCTGACGATGCTTTTGGACCGTGCATCAAAACGATATTGTTTTATTTAATGAAAAGAAACAACATCTGTTTCTTGTCGTTTCGCACCCTCCCGCAAAAAGTAACTCTGTTATTCAGTTTAATTTTGTATACACTGCAGTTTCGATTCAACACAACTACAGTTTCATTTCGATATTTATAGACTCAAATATGTGAAAATGTTATTGAATTTTATTTTATATACACCATAGTTTTATTAAAACACAACTACATGATCATTTTGATATAATTACAGCTTCATTATACAATATACACTCAAATATGTGAAATATTATTCAGTTTCATTTTATATACACTGCAGTTTTATTTCAACACAACTACAATATCATTTTGATATAACTGCAGTTTCATTTGATAATATAAAAATAGTACGTGAAGCAGTATCGGTTTAGATATACTTTAGTGTCAATTGGTAATTAACATATACAAAATGCGCATTCCGTTAAAACTAATGGCGCGCCGTTTTAACCGAAGTGTACGTGCACCGCAGTCCACGATATAACGACCCACAGAATTCAGGTTGGTCTATGAAGCCGTAATAAGAGTTGGTTGGCTACGATCTCACATGGAGCAATTAGTGCAGGATGAAGGTTGCAGGGGAATAGGTACATATGAAGAAAAAGAAGCCGACATATATAGGGAAGACTTTGTTTCGGAGCATCCTACGATCAAACAATGATGGGCACCTGTAGGGTCAAGGTCAAGAACGACTTCAGGTGTTAGGAAAGTTTTACTAGTTCAACAAGGTGAGTGCAAAGGCTGTGATATGAAAGCCATGAGGACAAGGTCTACTACCAAACACGCCCTTAGCCCCTTTCTAGAAAAAGCCTAGCTCCACTTACCTAAATGGATTGTACCTTTGCAAAGCCCACTCCAACTTGCCTAAATGGACTTCCTTTTCCTAAACATTCCACCATGACACCTTGTACTTTACCCCTTACCATACTTTGGCCCCCAAACTCCCCATCTCCACTTTACACCCCCCACCCCCACCCCCACCCCACATTACTTCTTGATCCAATTTAGGCTCCAAAAACAATAGCCCTAGGCTCCAATTATTTCCAGACGTAATTAACCGTCGAGTTTCCCTTCCCTAGCCCAATTGATATTGGGCACAAACCCCATAGCTCCATCAGTAATAAAGTACATAATAAAGTATGTATATAAAAATATAAAATCATAAATATTCAAGAAGTTGTTACATCGTGTAAAGTTGAAAACTCCAGAAAGGGCATCATTATTGAAGAGTTGTCTGAGGAGTCTATTCCATCATATTCTTCACATATGTATAAGTAAGGGTGACCACGGTTCGGTTCAAGCCGTAATCGGCATTGTAGTAACTAAAATCGAATCGGACGATTCCGGTTTCTAATTGGAACCAATAAGTATAGGTTCCTGTTAAGGTTTGTGAAATAAAAAAAATCGGAATCGTTGGTTGCAGTTCTAAACTGTAAAAAAATAATAATAAATAAATAAATAAATTGATGGGTGTAGGCCTACGCCTGCAACATACTGCCTCACTACCGAGTCGTTATGCTGTGCATCAGTGTACACCATGCATGGTGTACACGGATGCAAAAACGACGTCGTTTTGACGTCGACATAAAAAAAAAATTCAGAATTACATAACTACACATCCATAATTTCATAACTATACATCCAGAATTGCATAACTATACATCTAGAATTGCATAACTATACATCCAGAATTGCATAACTACACATCCATAACTTCATTACTATACATCCAGAATTGCATAATTACACATCCATAACTTTATAACTATAAATCCAGAATTGCATAACTTCATAACTATACATTCAGAATTGCATAAATACACATCCATAATTTCATAACTATAAATCTAGAATTGCATAACTATACATCTATAATTTTATAACTATACATCCATAATTTCATAACTATACATCCATAATTTCATAACTAGACATTCAGAAATTATGCACAACATAATGTTGTTGACGGGAATCAAAACTGATTTTTTTAAAAGTTGGACGCGCGTTTTTAGTCAAAATGACGTCGTTTTTGCATCCGTGTGCACCATGCATAGTGCACACGGATGCACAACATAATTTGCCCTCACGAATAGTTATGCTGTGCATCTGTATGCACCATGCATGGTGCATACAGATGCAAAAACGATGTCGTTTTATTAAAAACGCGCGTCTCCCCTTTAAAAAAAAAATTCAGGTTCAATTCCTAGTAACAACATTATTTTGTTCATTCATTATGGAATTTTAGTTCATGGATTATGGAATTATAGTTCATCGATTATGGAACTATAGTTCATCGATTCTGGAATTATAGTTCATCGATTCTGAAATTTTAGTTCATAGATTCTGGAATTTTAGTTCATTCATTCTGAAAATTTTAGTTCATAGATTAGATTATGGAATTATAGTTCATCAATTATGGAATTATAGTTCATCGATTATGGAATTATAGTTCATCGATTATGGAATTATAATTTCGAACCTTTTTTTTTTTTTTAAGGGGAGACGCGCGTTTTATAAAAACGACGTCGTTTTTGCATCCGTATGCACCATGCTTGGTGCATACGGATGCATAGCATAATTTGCCGGGTTAGAGGGGCCTTAAAGGTTTCATGGCTTAGGAAGAAGCAATTATACTGTGGACCGCGGTCCAGCGCCGTTACAATTAATGGAGCGCGCATGTTTAGTGTATTAATTATCAACTGAAACTACAGTCTATCTAAACTGACATTGCCTCACGTATTATTTTTATATTATCAAATGAAACTGTAATTGAATTGAAATGAAACTGTAGTTGTATTGAAATGAAACTGCATATATAAAATGAAACTGAATAACATTTTACATATTTGAGTGTATATTGTGCAATGAAACTGTAGTTATATCGAAATGATAATGTAATTGTGTTTTAATGAAACTATAGTGTATATAATATAAAATTAAATAACATTTTCATATATTTGCATGTATAAATATCGAATGAAATGTAGTTATATTGAAATGAAACTGCAGTGTATACAAAATGAAACTGAATAACAAGAGTCACTTTTTGCGGAACGGCGCGAAACAGGTGCCGTTTCTTTTTATTAAACAAAACGACGTCATTTAGAAACTCGGTCCATAATGGATTATGGACCGCAGTCCACAATATAATTTGCCCTTAGGAAGGCGGTCAGCTTAGAGCATCCTCATCAGATCTTGTTTTTTCACTGTTTTTGAAGTGCCATTAGGAAAGAGAGAGGATGTCAATAAAAAAGTGAGGAAAAAAAAAAGGAAAAAAGGGCTGACAACAATTTAAAAAAAAAAAAAAAACTGAAAAACTTTATAGATACTTGTGCTCCACAGGCAGAAATGCTCTGTTGTTTTCCATTTTCTCTCACATTCTAGGCCCCACAAGAAAAACATAAATAGCATGAGAAAAGATCAATCTTTGAACAATGCGTCATCTCATTAGAAAAGAAACCCTACTTTTTCACTATTCTAAAAATCAACATAGGGAAGATTTTAATTTGTTTTGGAGCATCCTACGATCAAACTAACAATGGTTGGAGCCTGTAGGGCCAAGGTCAAGAACGGGTTCAGGTGTTAGGAAAGTTTTAGTTCAACAGGGTGAGTGCAAAGGCTGTAATGTGAAGGCCATGAGGACAGGGTCTACTACTACTTCTAATTGTCTAGAAGAAGTGGCCAATTCACGATGGAGTCATGGGGTTTGGGCTCAACAACATATTTTTTTATAGATTATTTGTAGGGTAAATCATATCTACTTTTGTACCACAATTAATTTAGTCACTCATTTTCAATCCTGATTTGGAAATAATGAATGAAGCAACAAGTACGCAGAAGGAAGGTGCTTTACTGATACTATACAGCAGATAAGAAGCCAATTCAAACATCATCCAAAACAAGAAAACAAATAGTTTGCAGTTTGCATGCAAGACTCACAAAGCAAATTCATGAAAGCAGAGATCATATGGATCGAGTTACGTTGCAGATTCATCCTCGCCGCGCCCTATCAATTCAAGATATGATACGCCTTTTCTTCCGACGACTAGTCTTGGAATTTGTTGCCTCCTTAGTCTCATCCTCGTCGTCGGTATTATTGGCCGTTTTATTATCTGACCTCCTGGTTTCCTGGGCGATTCTCCGTGGCAGATAAACATTGAAGTAGTAACTGATGATGCTTTGGGTGTTGTGGGAGGGCAAAGCGGCCATGGCAGCCTTCAAAAACCCTTTTCCACCTTGAGATAATAATAATGGCTTCATTTTCACGATTGACTCAAACTTATTCTGCTCCTCTAGAGTCCATTGATTCGAAACTTCTTCTCCCATCCCATCAAAATTCCATTCCCAAAACGCCGATCCCAGTTCAGACTGCAGCTTTATCCTTTCATCATTTACATGCCTTCTAACACATTCAACAGATCCACGAGACTCGCAGTCGCACAACTCTTCAGCTCTCCCTTTTCCAATAATTCCCACATCATCTTCTTCTTCTTCTTCTTCTTCTGTAGTTGTATCAGACGACTCATTCTTGATTGGCCATATCTGCGTACCCAACCATTTTAATTCTGTTTCTTGATCACCTTTCTTGGGTGGACCAATCCACTCCGGCAACTCCGCCTGAAACCGGCCGGCTAATATTGGAACTGCCTTCTTCTCACTCTCATCCTGGATGTAATCCACCCATTTTCTTGGCTCCTTTGACGCTTCCTTGCGGACTTTGCCCTTCACCATTCTTCAATTCTTTACCAGATTATCAACCATGAACTTATTGTTAGAAATGTAGATGAAGAATATAATAACAGGGAATACAAAAAAATTGAAAACTACTTTTTTTCTCTTTTTGCTCAAATACAAAAATCTGATCTATATATTCATTCCCCTTTAAACTTTTAGCCTTCCTAACAAAATGAAGTATTAGAAGTATCAGTAACATTTCTATAAATGGTCAACTGCAAAAATTACACATCCCTATCTCCAGTTTTTTTTTTTTTTTTTTTTTTTTTAAATAATAATTAGCAAAATCTAAATAATCACAAATGCAAGAAAAGGGAATTCACTAAAATTCGGATTCTGAATCTCTAGTATTCTTTTTAGAATAATAATAAAAAAAAAAGTATGAAACAACTTAACACATACAAGTAAATTTAAAACAAATTAAAAAATAATAAAAAATAATATCTATGAAAAATTAGAAAGTACTTCAATTCAATGGTTTGAATAATGTCTCAATAGTTTCTTCTTCACTCCTCCAATTTTATTGAAATCTTTATGAAACTAACAAATCAATTGAAATTACTAAATCGTAAAATTTCACAAATAAAATTCATTTTTGTTAGATAAACTAATACAATTGAATTGAAGTTTTAAAGCTTTCAAAAAAAAGAATTGAAGTTTTAAATGTGTAACATTCACATATTTTCCTATTAGAAGGATGAATGAATTGAAGTTCGATTTTCCATATGAAGGGCAATCTAATTCCTATTTCAACAAATTAAAAACCTTAATAATCTTCGAAATGTAACCTCAACTCAAAGTACACTAACACAAACTAATTTCATTCCAAAGCTAAGGAAAAGAAATATCCAATTTTCAATATGGAGGTCAACAGGATGGCGCGAAGACAGAGTATAATCCTCATTTCTATCCCTAAAACTCCATCCTATTTCCCATCCCCATTTCCATCCAGATTGGAAATCTATCCCCATCCATGCCCCCCCCCCCCCCCCCCCCCCAGAATTTTTTGAAATAATGGAGATTCTCCATACTCAGTCAGCCTTAGTCAAACTATTACAATTTAAAAAAAAAAAAAAGTAGTTAAATTTTCTTTGAATCCTCAACGACAATGGAAATGCCAAATACAGAATGCAAAGAGTGTTCATGTAAATAAGAACACAAATCCACAATTATAAAACGTCTAAACATCATATATCCAAATACAAATTTTATACACACACATATAAGTCAAGGATGGTGTTAGGTTACTTAGGAAGAGAGGAGTATCCTTGTCCGGTTGTCCCCAATAGGGAATAGATAGAATCTATTCTTGTTCCCCGAATTTTGGTTTCCGTTGGAGGCGAAGTAAATTGTCATTGGTATTTTACAATCAATTTTAGATTGAAGGATTTTTTTTTTTTTTCTGTGGAAAAGGAACACCAAACAGAAGAAGACAATGGAATTTTAAGATCAAATGGAAACGATACATCATGAAGATCTAAAACTAGTTTAAAAAGGAGGTGAATTATGGTATTTAACATTTGTTGCTCAATGTGTAGGGGATGAACACAAATATAGAAAAACTTTAATTATTTCATAAAGTTATAGAAGGAAATATGCGATGAAAAATTAAAATAAATGGACAAAAAAAAAAAATAATAACCGGTAAGTTTAGAATGAATTGACAAATGTCTATATAGTTTTCTAACTAAAGTCCTTTTTAGAATTTGACAATTTTAATTATATTCAGTCTCGGTTCGCTTGTCCCTGAACTCTAAAATAATGGCTATTTAAATACTAATTTGTTTCAAAATAATACTAATACAACAATGACAACAACAACAACAACAACAAAATTCTACGGAGTAATGTTAAAATTAAATTAAAGTTTATATAAATATCAAGTAACTTTTTAATTTTAATAATTCATAATAATTTTGACTTTTTAATTAGTACTTTCTAGCTGTTAAATAATAATAACAACAACAATAACAACTATTATTATTGAGATAAAACAATACTTTATATTTTTAGCCTAGACATTTTAGTCAAGTAGCACTTTTTTTTTTTTAGAATGTCATAGTTTATAATATGTTTTGTTGTAATACTGTTTTTGTGCATACGAGTACTAAATTGTTTTCATCTAAATTAAATGCGTACAAAGTGTCTGAGAGTTAGATTGTGTAGCTCTAATCTGAGCTGAAGAAATTCAATTTCTTTGATTTATGCGTATAGAATCAAATGCTCGAAACTTTAAAAATACTCAAAACAAATGAAGAATCGAAGGTAGAAAATCAAACAAATAAATCCATATCCAAAAAATAATAATTTGAATATATAAATGAAACTAAAGAAAATAGATGATATGTACGTACTTGAACTTAATTGACTCGGCCAATGAAGAGTGAGGCGATAGTTGTGACGATTGAGAAGATTGGAGTATGTGAGAGTTGTGCTTAAGAGAGGGATAACGAGAAACATAAGAGAGAGGGGGAGAGAGGAGGGGGGGGGGGGGAGAGAGAGAGAGAGAGATAAAGTTGAATGTGAGAGAGAAAGGGAGGCGGAGCGAAACGTGTAGAAGGAAGAAAAAGAGAGTCAAGCTAATCCTTAAATACCGGGAAAAGAGAGAGCCAAGCATGAGAGACATGTGAGAAACGTACATATTTAGATTAAAAAATCTATAAAGATATTTTGTGCCAAAATACAAATTTTTTCCTTTGTTCACAAAATGTATTTTCCATTCGTTGAATTTATATTCCGTTGGATAACTAAATATTAGAAAATCTACAAAAGAATTTCTAGAAATCATTTTCTAAATTTTTAAATGAACCCAAAATTAAAATAATTTTAACCTATAACTTGGTTGTGTGGGAACCTTCATATCTTTGCATTGCTATTTTAAACGTTGCATATGCATTATTGGAAAAATTATAAATCAAAGCTATTTTAAACGTTGGATGCATTATTGGAAAAATTGTAAATGCTACATACTATAGTCAAAAATTAAAAGTGAGAGTTTGAATCTTATACGTGCATAATTGAAAGTTGGTACACTTTTGTTTACATTACATTATCCGCATCCTTTTTGAAGTGGGCCCCAGTGCTATATCATCACATTTGCAATTCAAATAATTTTTTTTGGAAAATGCAATTCAATATTATTTTCTCTAGATTTTTACAATTTCAACCCACTCTCTAAATATAATATAATATACAAGTAAATTTGAAACAAAAAAACTTTCAAAAAAAAAATTTGAAACAAAAAAAAATAATAAAAAACAATATCTATGAAAAATTAGAAAGTACCTCAACGGTTTGAATAATATCTCAATTGTTTCCTTGTATGAATCAATTCGAAGACGAAACTTCCTACTTCACTCCTTCAATTTTATTGAAATCTTTATGAAACTCACAAATAAATTGAAATTACTAAATCGTAAAATTTCACAAAATATTTTCATTTTCGTTAGATAACACTAATACAATTAAATTGAAATTTTAAATGTGTAACATTCACATCTTTTCCTTTAGAAAGATGAATGAATTGAAGTTTCAAATTTATTGTAACATTCACATCTTTTCCAATTAGGACTTCTAAAACCACCAAAAAAAAAAAAAAAAAAAAAAGAGGGAAATTTGATTGCCAATTTTTTTTTTTTGGTCACCTTAGGTTTAAGAATAATGATAGAGCTAGGTTAGGATTCTATTTTTCAGAATTTAATAAAATTTTGATACTTACAATTTGTTCAAGTTCGATTCTCCATACGAAGGGCAATCTAATTCCTATTTCAACAAATTAAAAACCTTAATAATCTTTGAAATGCAACCTCCAGTCAAAGTACACTAAAACAAACTAATTTCATTCCAAAAAAAAAAAAGAAGAAATATTCAATTTTCAATATGAAGGTCAATAGGATGACACGAAGACAGAGAGTATAATCTTCATTTATATCCCTAAAACTCCATCCAATTTCCCATCCCCATTTTCATCAGGATTGGAAATCTTTCCCATCCATGCCCCCATGGAGAAGTTTTGAGAATATTGGAGATTCTCTATACTCAATCAGCCTTAGTCAAACTATTACAATTTTTTAAAAACTTAAAATAGTTAAATTTTCTTCGAATCCTCAATGACAATGGAAATGCCAAATACAGAATGCAAAGAGTGTTCATGTAAATAAGAACACAAATCCACAATTGTTAAACATCTAAACATCATAAATCCAAATACAAATTTTATACACATACACACACACACACAAGTCAAGGATGGTGTTAGGTAGAGAGGAGTATCCTTGTTGGGTTGTCCCCAATAGGGAATAGATAGAATCTATTCTTGTTCTCCGAATTTTGGTCCCCGTTAGAGTCGAAGTAAATTGTCATTGCTATTTTATTACAAGCAATTTTAGATTGAAGGATTTTTTATTTTTATTTTTTTTGAAAAGGAAAACAAAACAGAAGAAGAAAATGGAATTTTAAGATCAAATGGAAAAGAAACATGAAGATCTAAAACTAGTTTGAAAAGGGTCTTTAAAAAAAAAAAAAAAAAAAAAAAAAAAACTAGTTTGAAAAGGAGGTGAATTATGGTATTTAAAATTTGTTGCTCAATGTGTAGGGGATGAACACAAATATAGAAAAACTTTAATTATTTCATAAAGATATAGAAGGAAATATGCGATGAAAAATTAAAATAAATGGACAAAAAAATTAACTCTAAGTTTAGAATGAATTGACAATGTCTATATAATTTTCTAACTAAAGTCTTTTTTAGAATTTGACAATTTTAATTATATTCAGTCTCAGTTACGTTCTCTTGTTCTTGAACTCTAACAGGGCGTTTGGTTGGGGGGATTTTAAATTACCTTCCCACATAATTCCCACCTAAATTCAAAGACCATTAAATTCCGTAGTTTGGTTGGAAGGAATTGCAATTCACCCATTTTCATGGAATTAAAATCTCATGTATCCCCCCACCCCCCCACCCCCCGCCCCCCCGGTATTTTAATTCTTGGGATTTTAAGAAGAAAAAAAAGATAGTGATGAGTCAAAATTACCCCTTCCTTTTTTAACCTAAAATTAATGCCTAACAACAACAATGGACATTTTTTACTTTATACTACTTATTCCCTTTCAATTATCATGTATACCAAACATTGGAATTGAAATTCCCAGTAATTATATTCCTGTAAACCAAACACTGAAATTTAAATTCTCACTTTATTCCTAGTAATTCATCTACCACGGAATTACAATTCCTTTCCCACATAATTCCCTCAATCCAACCAAACGCCCTGTAAAATGGCTATTTAAATACTTTGTTTCAAAATAATAATACTAATACGACAACAACAAAATTCTACGGAGTAATTGTTAAAATTAAATTAAAGTTTATATATATCAAGTAACTTTTT